TAGTGTAATGTAAGAGTCATTTTTGATAATACAAAATTATATGTTAATAATAATATTACTTAAGTATTACTTATTATCTGTACAAAAGTAATATAACAATAAGTATTACTTAGGAAGCGTCAGAAAGTGGAGCGCATGCCGGGCCATCATTTTTGCTATGGCATCGAGAATTTATAAAAAGGTTTGAAATTGATGTATAAGGTTTTTGCTCTCTGTTTGAAATTATTAGCGACAGAAAAATGTCGCATAAAAGTTTTTTTCAAATATTTAGACAAAAAGGAGTAAATTGTTCGAAAAAAATTTATTGGTCAATTTCGAAAGTAATATGATATTTTCAGAAATAATAAGAGTCAGCGAAAAAATGAAACTTTTTAAAATTGTGTTGAAAGTGAAAAAAAAAAAAAAAATTATTTTAAATTATGCAATTACCACCAGAATCGATTGATAAAAATTTCCTTTTTTTTTAAAAAAGAAAAAACTTCATGAAGATATTTAAAACATTTTTTATATAGGCAAAAATGATTTTATCGTTTTTTAATCATTCATTACAAATTATTTCCTTCTAATTTCATTTCAAAATTAAATCGTAAATTTTCCACTTTTTTCCTATACTTTAGAAATTTTAAATTAATAAATTTAATCATTTCATTTTTATAGGATGGAAATTGCATTACGTCTGATTGATCCATCGATTGCATTACCGTACTGGGATTCATCCCTGGATCAGCATTTATCTGATCCACGTGATTCAGTCATGTGGAGTGAGATGTTAATGGGAGAAAGTAATTCGAATGGCGAAGTAATTAATGGGCCATTTGCTAGATTCATTACACTTGAAGGTCATCCAGCTATAACAAGGTTCAAAAAAAGAAGAAAAAATTATTTGCACTTGAATATTTTCAGCAGATAATTCCAAAATGATTTAAATCTAATAATATCTTACAAAATTGTTTAATTTAGGAATCTTGGAGAAGAGGGACATTTGTTTACAGATGAAAATATTAATACAGTTTATGGTAAAGATACAATTGAAGGAATATTAGCGTATACAGCATCAACAAAAGGCAAGTTGTAATATAAAGAAATTGTTGACGGATGATGATGATGATCATGATAATGGTGATGGTGGTGGTAATGATGATGATGATGATGATGATTGATGATGATGATGATGATGATGATGATGATGATGATGGTGTTGATTGATGATGATAGTGGTAATGATGATGATAATGTGGTGATGGTGGTGGTATGATGATGATGATGATGGTAGTGGTGATGATGATGATTGATAAGTGATAATGGTGATGATGATTGATGATGATAATGGTGATGGTGATGATAATGATGGTGATAGTGCGATGGTAGTGGTGATGATGATGGTGATATTGATGATGGTAATCATGGTGGCGATGATAGAGATGATGACAATGATACTGATGATGATAATGGTAATGATGATGCAATAACGATATTAATGCTGATTAATGATAGATAATAATAGTGATGATGGTAATGATAATGTTAGTTGATTGTTATTTAAATGATGATAAAAAAAAAAAACGTGGAGGGAAGGATTAGAAAGAAAAAGGTAGGAGAGAGAAAGAAAACTGATAAAGATTTCTTTTTTATAAACTTTTTTAACTTTAGCCAACAAATTCATCTACTCGTATTTTCATTTTCTTGAATTTATTTTAGCTTATCGTAATTTGAAAAAGTTTATTTTTCAGCATGTCCATATCCACCAAATTTCTCTGCCCTAGAATATTATCATGCTAGTGTTCATATCTGGATAGGTGGTGATATGAAGCCACCATTGACCTCTGCTAATGACCCCGTCTTTTTTCTTCATCATTCATTTGTTGATTATATATTTGAAAATTGGCGACAAATGCATCAAAATCGAATACAGCGTGAGCAAGTATGCACTCCATGATTTATGAAAACTCAAATTTTTTTTTGCTTATTTTTAATCAATAAATCTTTTCTCGTTTCGACTATTTAAGATAAAAACAATAAAAATTAAAGAAATCTTTCGAGCAAAAAAATAATTTGTTAGAGATAATTTTATGCTAGAATTTATTTCAAATTCTTGAGAAAAATAAGAGCGGTAAGGAAAAGGATAAATTCTTGTATTCTTGAAGAGAAGGATGAAAAAAGTGGTAAAGTTGGAATTTTATTTTATTTAAAAAATTGCTTTAAAAAATTTAAAAACAAATTTTGAATAATTTTGGATGGTCAATCAATATTGAGTATACAATTTGATTTTTATTGCAGTGTTTTCCATATTACTTGTCATCAAGGATATCTTTCAAAAATTTTCAAAATTTTTGTCTTCTTTGTCATTAATCTTTTCCGTTTTTAATTTTCGCTTCGCTTTTTTAAAGCAAATTTTACATTTTTCATTTTTTTATTTTTTAGAAATTTTTATTTGAAAATTACAAAAAAAAAAAAAAAAAATGAAATAAAAGTAGCAATGATAATTATTAATTATTTAGGATTATCCCCAAGAGATCACAACTTGTACAACTCCACGTCATTTTGCTAATGCAAATATGCGACCATTCAATTTAGTAAACAAACACGGTAAGCAAATTTGATTAACTTTTCCAATTTGCAAACTTATTTGTAAAAAAAAAAAAAAAGAACACAAGAGAGGATAAATTTAGTCTAAATTAATTAATTATAAAATATAATCATACAGGTTTATCGAATGCATATACGGATTACTTATATACTTATGCGCCACGGCCAAATTGTAGCGCTAATGAACCAACTTGCCAATCGCAATTCTTATTTTGTGATTTACGAAACGGTCCTGCACATTGTGTTTCAAAAATTAAACTTGGAAAACGATGTGAAAAATTTATTGGTGAAGATGCATGTTATATGGGAATTTGTTTGGATGGTTATTGCAAATTAGGGAATGCTACTTCGGTGAGTGAAAAAGATTAAAAAAAAAAAAAAATTGAAATGAGATAATAAATAAATAAATATTCAAAAAGTTTGATCTATAAGTTTTTTTTTTTTTTTTGAAATAAATAATTTTATAATTCTGTTTTATATATTTCTTAATATATTATTTTTATTTTATTTAGATTTCATCAACAATTTCTACATCACAATCATTTCAACATATCACTACATCTTTACACATCACTAAAGCACCATTTCAACAACATACAAGTTTATCTGGAATGCAACAAATTAGAAATGCGTCAATTTTGAGGAGTAAAATTTCTGATCAAAATCGTAACTCTATTAAAGCAACAACAACAGTACGATTTAAAAATTAATTTAAATTTTCATTATTTAAATTAATAACAAACATTTTGTGGGGAAGCAAAAAGGAAACGATAGTGAAAAATAATTTAAAATTAATAATAATTAAATTAATAGGCAATGCAAACAGCATGTCTAAATGATGATCCATGCTGTAATTTATGGGCTAAAAATGGTGAATGTCCAAATAATGTCGAATATATGAGAATGCATTGTCGTCGAAGTTGTAATTACTGTCAAAGCACTGATAATAGACGAAATGGTAATTAGCAGCATTTTTCTCCTTTTTCTTGCAAATTTGATTAATTGAACTGATTTGTTTTTAATCTAATTTCAAATTAGTAATAAACAGAAAATTTGTTTCATTCTAAGTAAATTTTTTGATAAATAAATTGATATGTTCAAAGTAATGCCAAAGAAATGGATTGCAAATTTTTAAAATTTGATTTAGATTAAACAAATATTATTTAATGCTAATTATCATATATTTCTATTTCTGATAAATATTTTTCAGGTTGTTTCGATCGACATATTTCATGTTTCTATATGCGATTGCAAGGTGAGTGCAAACAAAGAACAAAATGGATGGCAGAAAATTGCCAAGCTAGCTGTGATTGGTGTAATATATCAGCTTATGATCTATGTATCCGAACAGCTTTAATTAATTAATTAATTACATTCAAAACAAATTAGCTAAGGGTATTCGTTAATTATTCAAATTTTTGCTTAGACATTATTACTACTAGCTCAACATTTATTATTATTATTGTTATTGTTATTATTATTAATATTATAATTATTAATAGTATTAGTAGGTCACTTATTATCCTCGTCATATATCACATACAGCTTGTCAATCTTTCATTTAACATATCAAAATAACTTCTTTTAATTATAGAAGTATTTGTGATGGGTAAGTATTTGTGATGGTAAGCGCGGATTTATAGAATATTTTTCAAATATACAGGAAAAATAAGAATTATTGAGTAATTAAAGAACGATTAAATTCTTTTCTATCTTCATGAATCAAATTTCCAACTTTTCGAATTACATGAAATACATTCTCATCTTTTATTTTCATTCAATATTATGTACATTAGCCTTATGTCTTCTTTCACTCTGTTTTAACCTTATTAATAAGTATCTTTTACATTCCTCATAATCTTTCGTTCACTTTGTAAATAAATATTCTTTATTCAATGCCTTTTCAATTTCCTTTTTCACCTCACTGCCAAATTTATTATTATCGTTGTATCTCTTTAGAATTAATAGCTTAGCGATAATTTAATTTGATGAAAAGAACAAATTAGAAAATTGTTATCGCGATAACACTGTCAGAATTATATTTCTCAGGTTTCTTAACAATGAATTTATAAAATGAAAAATAAATATGCCGGTTTCAATTTGATAGGCGAATTCCACCAACCAATTCACCACAATTTAATTGAAGCTACAGAACCATGAAACACCAATAATAATCCCACATCCGAAGCACTAACCACAGGCAGTCCAGACAAGTTAACCATCCTAAAACGAGAAATATCGAAACACTATGTGCTGAATTCGTCCTTCCTTTTACTGATCTGCTTACACCAAGCCTTTTCCTGAACTTATTTTCAAAACAATCACTTGCGTACTGTGTATGAAACACATATACATAATGAAAATGAATTTATTATAAAATATTCCCAAAAAACAATACAGATGACAGCATAAATTTATTTAGCTTTTCCAATAGCTTTTTCCTTCGGGTCTTGCATTACCAATGTTCGATGACATTTGCCACAGTAGTACCGATTTTGGTGGCTAGCCATGAAAACGCCTCCACCACATGAAGGCGAAGCGCACTCTTTTCGTAAACGGGTAATCTTACCATTTTCATCAACCTTAAATTCAAGGAGATAAAAAAAAAAAATTCAGCAGGATAACAATATATTATGAAAGTCTATAGACATAAATAATCAACCATTTGATTTTAAACCATACACATTGTGTCAAGGTCATCTCTTTAATGAATAAACTGACCAAACTCATAATCACTTACTTTGTAGTATTTCAGGACGGCAAGCTTGACCTTCTTTCTCTTATGCTTGTTTTTCTTCGGCGTAGTATAAACCTTCTTCTTCCTTTTCTTGCCACCACCTCGCAATCTATTATTTTATTAGACAAAAAAAACTTTTTTCATTACTTCAAAACAAACATTCGTGGCTCAGAGAGCTATACTTCATTCATCAAATCAGTGCACCAAAGCACAGTTAACATCACAACCACGAAGCAAATAAACTGACTATATCCGAATCAACAGAACAGCGCTTACCTCAAGACGAGGTGAAGTGTCGATTCCTTCTGGATATTATAATCAGAGAGCGTCCGACCATCCTCCAACTGTTTACCTGCTCGTTAGAAAAAATCAAAATATGAATAAAGCTGGTCCATCCTCATGTGTTATACTCAGGTATAACGCACTCCGGAGTCAGCAATTTCAAAGTTAAACAAACTGATAGAAAAGTCAAAAAAAAAAGAAAAAAAAAAAAAAAAAAAACTCAGAAGAATCATGTGACTTGAAAGCCGTTTAATTACGAGGACACTTCGATTCAGAGGTGAATATTTTAAGTCACGATACTCTCATAGGCCAGGACACCTTTTAACACCAATATATCATCATGACCGAAGTACTGTCATGCAACGCCACATCAAAAATCCATTACAAATTTAGAATTTGGGTTTGTTGCAAATGAAAATATAAAGTAACCTGCAAAAATAAGTCGTTGTTGATCAGGTGGAATACCCTCCTTATCTTGAATTTTAGCCTTCACATTCTCAATGGTATCGGACGATTCTACCTCAAGGGTAATCGTCTTTCCAGTTAACGTCTTCACGAATATCTGCATCTTGACGTGGTTATGGACCCTTAAAAGATATTCGGTTGTTTCAAAGTGAAAAATCAGGACTGCGAATTAAATGGAAATGTTACTGAAACTTGACAACACCATAAGATTCTATTATTAATAATGACCAAATAATGTACTCAAAATCCATGGATTGAGTTTCTACAGTCTATACTAGTTAACAATGATGCTTGGTAAAAGACGTGTGCGTACAGACGAGTCCCACGTAAGTTACGCGCGTACATACCACAGCATCCTTACCCAACCGACTAAAGGCACCAACCATACACCAAATAACGCCGAGTGAAGCAGGCAACCCATCCCCCAATTATCCCTAAAAGTTGCAAGAAATAACATAGCCCTCGGCACATCGCGGCATGAAACATTAAATCCCACACAGTAGTATTTTGATATGTAGTGTATTTCTTGACATTTTCATTTGGTCGAGGGATATGATTTCTTGGTACATTTTGACCTGGCCAAAAATTTCCACAAGGATTGAGGATAGCTACAGAAATAAATTGGATTAAAGAAAATCAGAAAAAACGAAAATATTTCATGTGCTTCAGATAAATCCGTATGAATGTCATTGAATATATATCGAATATTGGTTGATGGAGCATTGGTAATCACTATAAGTATTCTTTTGACTTATCATCGAAATATCAGCGATAAAAGTGTTCTCGAGGAGAAAGAAGCAATTGTTGTGGTTGCAACGCTTAACAGGAGTCAAAAGGATGAATTGCACACAATTGCTCGAAAGCTTGTGGAATCAGGAAAAGGCATTCTAGCGGCTGATGAGAGCATCGGTAAGAAATTGGCATCTTATTAAAGTTTTAATTGGCTATTGTACGATAAAGATTACACCACTTCATCTCACATTCCTTTGCATTATATATGGTGTTAAGTCGTCCCACATTATTGTTTAATGAGTGAAGATCTGAGGAATTTACACTAATATCCTTTTATCAGTAATTTTTATTTTTATCAATAACCAAAATCCATCAGTAATTTTCAGATACGATAGGTAAACGGTTCGCTATGATTGGGATGGAAAATAATGTGAGAAACCGAAAAAATTACCGATATATGCTGTTCACAACACCAAATATATCGCAGTATATTTCAGGAATAATACTACATGAAGAAACATTTAGTCAGGTAACTTATCAATTTATCAAAAAAATAGCGAATATGATAATGGATAGCAGTCTGTTATTAGAATAGTAAGAGATTTGCAGTTCTAATCTTACTGTTGTGAATTTATGCTCGCATGAATTGCGTGTACTCGTTAAAATTTAAAAGGTTAATTTATTCGGATACTGTTAAGCTGTAGAGGGAATAATATCCTTACTCCATGACATGTTCTAATTATTAGAGAGATGATGCTGGCAAACCTTTTGTGGACATCGTCAAGGAAGCCGGCATATTACCGGGAATTAAGCTTGACAAAGGTCTTGAACCGTTTGATGGAGGTTTAGAATACATCACAAGAGGTGAGTAAATTCTCATGTAATTGAAATGCTATTTTTTGAATTTCTATGTGCTTTTCTTATTTTTAAATGAATAAATCCAAGATCTAAACCTGAATATTTCGCGTGCAATGTTTTGTTACAGGTCTGGATGATTTGAAAGAAAGAGCTGAATATTTTAAAAAAGGTGGGTGTCAGTTTGCAAAATGGCGCTGTGTATATAAAATTTCCGACGTAACACCATCACGAAAAGTGCTGAAGGAAAATGCCAAGATACTGGCACAGTACGCAGTCTTAAGTCAACAAGCAGGGCTGGTGCCAATAATCGAACCAGAGGTCCTATTGTTTTGAAATTCTTTATAATGACTTTTATGAATCCAAACTGCTTGGCAGTTAAGTGATTAGTTCATGGTAATACAATATTTGATATTTTGATCATAATCAACAAAGATTCGAACTTGTTTTAGGTTCTTTCCGATGGTGCACATGATTTAGAAAAGGCTGAAAATGTTACAGAACAAGTCTTAGCAGAAGTTTATAAATCACTGCACGATCATGGCGTTTACCTCGAAGGTACTCTTCTGAAACCGAATATGGTCATACCAGGATCAAAATTCACAGGCAAGGTTGTTATCCAATTTTAGTAGTAGATATAGATTTAAGATCTTTATTAAGTGACTAAAATATGGAAGGGGCTAACAAAGTATTAATTAGTTTCACATTACATTCAAATTCGCAGTGGTACGTCATAAAGCATTATCTTGCAAAATGGCAGTAGCGATTTTAAGGTTGGACACGACAGAATAGCTAAAGAAACATTTCGAGCGCTAACAAGAACAGTGCCTGCAGCAGTGCCCGGTATTGTTTTCTTGTCTGGTGGTCAGCTGGAGAAAGATGCTACTAGGAATTTGAATGAAATTAATAAAATAGCAATCAACAAACCATGGAAACTTTCTTTTAGGTTTGCGTTATTTTATATTTCTAAACACACTCTATTACTTATCTGCTTTTCAAAAATTCGAATCCCAATAGGTAGGAATTCTGAGAACATTATGGTTGGTAATAAAATGTGCTTTGCAGTTACGGCCGAGCTCTACAAACTTCAGCTTTAAAAGAGTTGACGATAAGTGGTTCGAAAGAGGCGCAAACAACATTTCGACATAGAGCAAAACTTAATGCTTTGGCTGTCGAAGGAAACTACATTGATGATCTTGAATGAGAAAAAATTTTTTTGGTTAAAAAGATTAGACAGCTTGTAATATATATACATACATAAATATATTCTTCTTTCCTGATTTCTGTTCTAAATTAAGCCAAAATGAAGTTGAAATTTGAAAGCCCAGTCTAATTATACAAATGAACTAACACGTATACTCATTTCTTACTTTACATTTGCTAAATTCAAAAATGCCAACGTCCTTCTTTCGGTTTATACCCGAGCTTATTGGCTACTCCTTCATAAACAGGTGATTCGGCATATGCACAATATTGAGGTGGATCTGTATATCGTCGTTTTTGTACCTGCAACTCAGGGTCTTAATAGCAAAAATTGCACTTCCAATTAAAACAAGAAAAAAAAAATTTACTGTAATAAATAAATTTACCAAATTTTATTGGACATCATTCAGCGGTTTGTTTATAGCAGTATGGCTGCCAATGGCGGTTTGATGAAATGATTTCCCAAAATATTCGGACCTTTAGAGAATTCAGAAAAAAGTGTCAAAAAAATTTTTAACTCCCGAGAACTCGAAATGTCACTTTAATTAATGTACCTTAACATGGCTACCGTCACACAATGGACGGTTTTTTGTTGCTTTGCATACGCAAAGGCTGTATTCTCCATCTTTTTCAACTTCGAAACGCACGGGTTTCAGTGTTGTGATTCCTTCTGCAGTATGGCTGCCATCACACCACGGCTAAAATGTCGTGGTTACTTCAGTGATTTCAGTGAATTAGAAAAAGAAATAAAAACCTATCTAAAGCAATAAAGTAAATCCAGGAAATTCGTAACCACAGTTTTATTAAAAACGAGAAACATATAAAACGGATACTAGTGATTTGTAGAGAACTAAGTTGTTTACCTGTTTTCCGGACAGACCACATGAACACCAGGAATATTGTTCGCCTTTTCTCAGCTTCATTCTTATTGGTTTGTTCTCCAAACATATGCCTATTTCAGGATACAAAGCGGCAGAAGGATTCAACAATTTCACACTACTTATTGCACGCGATAGAATTTTACAAATCTGAAAATTTCAGCCAAGATTCTCGTGGTAGCACTACATAATAGCATAATTGGAATATATTAATGAACAAGAATACGTATTCCTACATTTTCTTCTAATATATAACATTTAAAAATTGTCAATTTGATTCATTTTTGTATATATTGTCTTGGATTATACGAAGTTTTGTGTTATAATGTATAAATGAAAACAAAAAAAAAAAAGATTTAGTCGTTACTAAGTGAACAAACATATATAATCGAGTAGATAAGTATTACAAATTTATTAATAATGATAACCAAATCATTATATTTTGGGTCAATAGATAATGAACAAAATGAAAATCATTATAACACAGTCATTTTTCCATTAAATACTGCCAATTTTTTGAGGTTAACTTTAAGTTGTTATAAAATAATTGTTTCTAGTCAATAATAATATTTAATGTTGACCAGCAATTTGTCCCATCACTTACTTACTACGACTAATAAAAGTAAAGTAGCGAACATGGTAAAATCTTATTAAGGAAAAGTGAACCAATGATAGCACAGAATGGCTTACACGATGGATGTCTCGGATGTTCGTCATTTTATCGAATGTATTCTTGAACATTATCCAGCTGAAAAGGTACTGAAAATATTTAAGAAGTTTGATCAAGATCGAAAAACACAATTTTAGCAGTTAAAAAGCCATTAATCCATTGCTTTAACAGCAGCCTGAAACAGTGTAATAAAAAAAAGTCTTACTTCAACATTGTTACTTATAACATGCTTACCTATTTGGAAAAAGTGTAAAAAAAGTCTGAATCGATATCATTTCCTGAGTCAAACAATTTAGAAAGGTATAACAAAAACAGCCTAGACGTATTCGATAGCCTAGATCATTCTTGTCCTATGAGCCTTTGTAAAGAGTGTCATGAAAATTAGAAACATTAGATATGATTACATATTCTGCGATAAACAAATATTTCATCTTTAAACAATAAAAAAGTTAATGTGCATGCATGCATGCATCATTAGTGCATACTTGAAATCATTTAAAAAAAGACTTTAAATCATAAAAAAATGTTTAAGAAAAGTTCCAAATGAATTTAAAAAACAAATTTGAAAGATTGGTGCAAATTTGATTTGCTTTTATTAAGCATATACCAAAGACACGCGCGTGCACGTTAACTGAAGCAATCAAAATGCATCTGAAAAGCACGCAACATGCAGTACGCTTGAGAGCTGTTAAATGCGTGCAAAATTTTTGCGGGTAATTCAATTTTGAAAAATTTCCTTATAACTTTTCAAATCATATTTCTTCACAGGATGGATATGTTTTTGATCTTTAGGGATATATTTCCGGATCCGATAATGCACACATCTGTGAGACATTCAGGATAGCACATCCGTCTTTATACTTTCATTTTGGAATGATAGCAGTAATATTGGAAATGATGATAATTTCTCATAATATTCTTTCTTTTCTTTCGATATTGCTAAAAGTATTAATTAAGAGAAAGTAGAAATTGTAAAGATGTAAGTATTAATTAACTCATTTTCTCAAAATTTCTTATAATCTGTCATTTGTTTATAACTTTCCATCAAATGAATTGTAATATTCATGTGCAGTTTACAGTTTCTATAACACATAACATGCTAGCATCTCTGTTAATTGTAAATATTAATCGATAGAATTAAATTTATAATATTAAATTGATAATATTTTCAAACTAATAGAAATTATTTATCTAAGAATTTAATTTAAGGATTTCGGTGCAATTCAAACAGATTAAATTAGTCTTTTGTAATAAATATTTCCAAGTTAAAATTTGACTTCTAGATATTTTAGCTAATCTACTATGCTTCTATTGTTGTGCATTAGGATTGAAGTATCCATTTGCAAGATTCGATGCTAAGTATTTTTTTTTTTTGAAATAATAAATGATTTATTGTTGTTCACAGAGAATAGAATCGATGGATCAGAGTGGACACAGGAAGCATATCTCAATCACAGATGTCAATAGACTATTGCCACATATTTGTGAAGGTACTTTTTTTTTTTCATTTTTTCTTTTGTCGTCATCTGATCTTCCTCATACATCGCATGATATTCCTTTATAACAATTACAAAAATATCAAAAAGTGCATTAGTGTTATTTCCGTGAAGCATTTAGAATACAGAATGCTAAATTATCGTCTTAATCCGATTGGTGCTAAATACCAATCAGATTAATTTTCAGTGTTGCTCGAAAATCGGTAGGAATCATTTGGTTCTAACTGAAAAAAAGTTGCAGGAATTAGTCTTTCCAACCAAAAAACAAAGTATTTCTGGCGCTTGTGATAATTTAAATTAAGTATGATACAATTTATAGAGGAAATAAATAATGAAATCCCTGAAGGCACTATCATTTGTGACTGTTCATCAACATCATTGTACGTTTTTTCATAGATTTTGCTATAAAATGAGTTTATATCTACTCCGTTTGACAATTTTTTGAATCTTACAGAAAACACCGTCTACGGATCACAGTTGGATTCATTTCGTTACGTTTCGCAAAGTCAAACATTTTTGAAAGACATATGCAACAAAAAAGTAAAAAAAAATTTTTATTGCTTTAACTGATTTTTCTTTTACAAAAAATTAGCTTCTGAGAAATTTTAAATATTATAAAATATTAGATAATAATGAAAAGTTGCTGTAATTTATTGTATAGTTTCTCATCAAATAATTACCACTTGTGCTTCATGCAGTCTTCCATTGTTTGTTATTTCAATGTTCATTCAATTTGTATGGATTTTGCTGCTTTGTGGAAGATATATGTTTTCATATATCACTATAAAAAAAAGGTATCTTACTGAAAATCAGTTTTTATCACAGGATTCCTTTTTTGTTTCGAATGGTCCTTCAGACACACGAGTATTCCGGCAAAAAACACCCTCAGGTACGAGTTTCACCATTGTTCCGATCTTTTTTTTCTTAAAGAACTACTTATATATTAGTTAATCAATCCTATCATCTAGTTCATATGCAGTTGAACAAATGCACCTACACCTGATTTGGATTAGTTGAAGAACTTTGATCTGTTTCCGCCTTATAAGCAGGTTTTGTTTTGTTAATTCGTATGTTCATCAAAAATAGTGTTCCAGTTTTCAGTTGATGATATCTACAATTCTCGCCCCGGACTTTCGCTTCATTTTTCACCTGGTACGAACGCTTCAAACACGACTATGACGAAGAGATTGGAGCTACTGAAAAAAAGATGTGAGCTACGAAAAGCAGTAAGTAAAAGTAAGTTACACTCTTTTTTGCAAGAAAATTTTACCTAGTTTGTTCAGTAATGTCTGATATTTCATTTCCAAAATTCATTAAGATAGAAATTTTCCAGAAACGAATTTACCTCATAATCAAAGTTGCTTGCATGAAACAAGTAAAAAAATCTTGAGTTCAGCTTCTGAGGCACCGAATTCTATCAATGATTATGAAGAGAATGAAAATATTGATGCCTCAATTCAATTTCCGCGGAATGGTACTATCAGCTCCACTTCGATTTCTAGCAATGCAACAAACGCCACTTATGTTGTCCGGCCGTTAGCACATGAAGGTTTAATACTCTTAAGTTCCAGTATTTGGCTTTTTATTCCACATATTTTAGTGTTATAATTCTCTCCATATGCCTTTAATCGAGTTTCCTGTTGTATTTTGTTCAGTTGGATTAATAAGTAAAAACCTCTTATTTTGCTAAACTGTATCTAAGATTGTGACTATAGTTAAACTCTTGCCAAGATTAAATAACTTTATTTAAAAATTAAACTAACAGTTTTGTCTTTTTTTATGCGTTTGTTTACTCCTTATCACTTCCTACGTTACTCAGTTGCGTCTCTCTTAATCTTTCTGTTTCGAGATTTTCTGAAGCTTCTCATTTATTTGATTTGTCATTATTCGATTTTCCTTTTAAACGAATATCCCCTTTACAGTTGGACGTGGCTTCACTAGCCGATATAAGAAAACAGAAATGGATAAAAAGTTAATTCACCAAGCAGCGCTGACATCATGGCTGAATTACCTACTTGATGAAAGTAGTGATGCCACTGATAATAGCGAAATTTCAATTAAAAGCAAGAAAGGTATTTTTTCAATTTTTATTTCAACTTTTTTCGAGCTTTCATCATAATTTTCCAGTTTTCTACATATTTAACATTTCGTTTATTGCTGTCTACACATCGCCTGAATCCTAGATGCTGATCTGTACTTGCGGAAACTGCTAACTTCGGGAAACGATGTTCTGACGATAAAGGATAATGAGCCGCAAAATGACATCAATTACAAATGTTTCATGGCTACAAATGAACTTAATGAAATGCGAGCCAGGTGACGTTGAATTAACTGAAAAAGAGCTGAGAAACTACAAAGTTGATTTCAGTTACTCTACCTGCATTCAAAAGTTTTTTAGATTTCGTTTATTATACGAAAACTCATCTATCCCGAATGATATCGCTGAAGTTGTAAAAAATGGTAAAATTGCAGTTAGAATGGATAGACGGATTTATGCTGATATCGGCAAGTTTCTGTTTTGAACTGATATAAATATGAAATTTAGTATTATAAAATTAACACTAAAAATTCTTATAAACAGTTAAAAATTTATGAATGAGACAATTTCAGGACTGCAAGAGGACTTGCTCAATCTACTCCTGAGCTTCCATCCGTTCTATCTTCGATTGGGCTTGGAGACTATCTTATCCATCAACATGGGGATAAAAACCAATTTCAAAACCCAACTCAGAATCATTGCTTTTGTAATTACGCAAAACATTTTTAAAAATCCCGAAATCATGAATAATCGGAAATACGTGCAAGGAAGAGCAAAGTAAGTTTGCCAACACCAAACAGAAGTGAATTTTTATAAAACAAATCAGTTTCAATTTTTTCAGGATTCTTGTCAATGACCGTGGCACAGAAGCGCTTCTAAAACATTTCTTAACAAAAATGTGCCAGTTTTTATTTATTGTTGATAAGGCATGGCGAGATGACATAATATCAAGAAAAAATCGTTGTATTTTTGTTAAATGGTCAGCTTATAAGGTGTGAGCTTTTTTTTTTCGAGTTCTGTATGTGCCAAATTTATAAATGGGCGAAAAATATCACAAATTACCCCTACGATTAATAGAAGCATTTTCAGACTATTAATGATGTGGTGGCAGTGTTAAGTCAGGAACTAATGACTGGTACGAGCAATTTACCGAAAACCCTTTCTCGTTTGGGTCTTTTTCTGGACCGCAAACAAGGATTTTTTGAAGAGTTTCAGTATCATGTAACTGACCTACTGAAAGATCTTGGTAATGGAATGATTCTCGGGTAATAATTTTCTAATATACATCTGCTATGTGAACCATGACGATGATTTAGTTTTAAAAAAAGTAAATTTCAGGCGGACAGTGGAAATTTTAGCTGATCTACAAAATGGCACAGTGATACGTTGTTTGCGAGATCCGGGTGGTGATCGACTTCGTAAAGTGGGCAATGTTAAAACAGTGATTGATTTTGCTAAGCGAAAGGGACTTCTTCCTGAAGGTGAAATAGAAATTGCAGATGAAGTGAACATTTTTTTATCTGTTGAGGTTTGAATAAACTGACAAAATTGAATGAATTTTCTCAGAATATCCTTGAGTAATGATTAAATCTTTTGGAGACCTGTATGTGGATATCGACGGTATTGTGCAAGGAAATATCGATGAAATTATACCACTTCTTTGGCGATTTGTTGGCAAGGAATTGGTAGAATTTTAGCATTTTTGACTTTTCTTTGAATTTTTTCTTTTTGCATCAGATTTTTCGTTTATTATAAATTTTATATACTTTTAACTTCTACTTATAGGGCAGTATCAATGACTCAGATAATTGCGATGTGGTTGATTCAATATCTCAACAACTTCTAAGCCTCTTCGGCATATCATATGAGGTTGGAATAAATTCTAAGTGTTCGGTATATGTTAAAACAAATAGGTTCACTCGTTTTTTCTAGATACGAAATCCTATGGAACTTGCTGACGGAAAATTGTTTTCCTTTTTATGGAAGCAATATTATTCATATGCTACACCACCGTTTGAGCTCTTCGCTGGCAATACAATTTTGGAGAAAATTGCAAATGCTGTAAGTTTACTACCAATTTACTGATCATAACATCGGGCATCAATTAAGACAGTGAATCGTTTGATCTTGATTGATCGATATATATGATATTGTAGGCTGAGTGTCATTTTGGAATCCCATCATTGATGCTGTTGAAGTGGAAAAACACACCTGAAGAAAAAGCACTCTGTCTCTTCACCAAAATTTTCATATCACGCATATATGAATGTTATAAATTTACTTCTTCTGCAATCATAATACAGCGTGCTTTTCGACGATATCGATATCGCAGCACTCTAAAGATGAATTATGATGTTCCTCATAAATTTGAAAGTGATGTAAACGTAAGACAATGAATCGTTTGATTTTGATGATATTGTAGTTTTTTGATGTTTTTGATCGACAATATTCAGAAAACAAAACTTTTGTATGCATAAGAGTTTTGTAAATTATGAAAATTGAAAATGATTTAATGGTTACTCAAGAATACCAGATACAGGTTTAATATTATTGACTCTCTTCTAGACATATGTACCAGATCAAATAGCTCAGTTACCTCAAGTAATGACGGAAGATTTAGAACGAACGAAAGCTTCTATCACAATACAGGTAAATATAGTAGAGACATTTTCTAAAATAGAATAAACGTTACATTAATATTTCATTGATATATATATATATATATATATATATAGTTAATTAATGTAGAAATACTAAGCTGAAAAAAGAAAAAAAAAAAAACGTTACAATAGTGTTTTGTTTCTTTAAACTTTCTAAATTCATTAGTTTTTTTATTTTCTGTGTTTCATTTTTCTATTTTCAGCGATACTTTCGTGGATGGCTTGCACGGACACTTTGTCAAAAGATGAAGTGTGATAAAACCTTGCAAGAACGAGAAGTAAAAGCAGTTGTCATACAAGTATGGTACATATATCGGTTACATTATTTGTATGTGGGCGCTTAATGTTCTTTAAAAGCGTTTATCAAATTTAGATGTCTTGACTTACATAAGTATGCTCGATATTTTATCCAAATAGTTTCTGAAAATGGTATATTCGCCTCAGAAATATTTTGAACTTATGTTATTGGATTATGGAGCTTATGTTATTGGTGGTGTTTTGTATTACAATTTTACATTACTTCTGTAAACTTTTTAGAAATTTATTCGGGGGTGGCTTGCACGAACATTTTATCGGAAATTATTACACGAACAGAATACAAAACAACGGGAAAATGCATCAGTTGTTATACAAGTGAGTTTCTAATGGTGAACTATTATTATCCAAATTATAAATTAGTTTTGTTGAATTGTAGATTTTTATTAATTGTAAGATAATTTTAAAAATATGTTCGGTTTTGGCTGACACATAAATCCAAAATGCAAAACAAAGGGATTTTAAAGAAGCGGGAGAATGCAGCACGCATTTTACAGGTGAAATTTGAAAATGTGGGAATTTGCTTACTGTGGCAGAATTTTCTAACTTAGATAATTAACTGAGGATCATAAATTTGTTCAAAAATAATAACACGAATACTTTAGAAATTTTGATTTATGAAATTCACTAAAATTGTCACTTCCGTTCTTCTCTTTTTATATTTTGTTGTAAAAAACTTCAAAGTTTTAACTTCTAGAGGTGCATACGTGGTTGGTTAGCACGACTACATTATCGGAATTTGTTGCATGAAATATCTTCAAGTAAGCGCGAAAGCGCTGCAATCACATTGCAGGTATATGCGCGCTTAATGTTTCCATTTGCATGCAATATATTTTACGCTTCAAGTTTATCATGGTTTTGAAACTCGAATGCGAATGGATTTGGCATTATCCTTTTTTCAATAATGATCCCTTTTCTTTAAATAGTTTCCATTGCATTTACTTGACTAAATAATTATAAATGATTTCCAGCTAATTTTTCAGAAATTTACTCGGGGGTGGCTTGCACGAACGTTTTATCGAAGACTGTTACATGAACAGAATACAAAGAAGTGGGAAAACGCATCAATTGTTATACAAGTGAGTTTCTAATGGTGAATTATTATTATCCAAATTATAAATTAGTTTTGTTGAATTGTAGATTTTTATTGATTGTAAGATAATTTTGAAAGTACGTTCGGTTTTGGCCAGCACATAAATTCAAAATGTAAAACAAAGGAACTTTAAAGAAGCGGGAGAATGCAGCACGCATTTTACAGGTGAACTTGAAAATGTGGAAATTTGCTTACTGAAGCAGAATTTCCTAAGTTAGATAATTAACATGACTGAGGAAACCTGAGGATCATAAAATTGTTTAAAAATAGTAACTGATACGAATGTTTAAAAAAATGGACCCTTTCATTTTTCTTTTTTTCTTTTTTTTTTGTGTTTTGCTGTAAAGAATTTTAAGGTTTTAATTTCTAGAGTCGCATACGTGGTTGGCTAGCACGACTGCATTATCGGAATTTGTTGCATGAAATATCTTCACGTAAACGCGAAAGTGCTGCGATCACATTGCAAGTATGTCGCGTTTACATCTTTTGATTATCCTTCCAACTTATTTTTATTTTAATATTCAAATATGGATGGAATCAGAAATAATTCTTTTTTCTATCATAACTTTTTTTTTTGAATGGTTTTAGCGGTATGCTCGTGGCTGGACTGCCCGTAAAAACTACCGTAAAATGCGACATGAAATAGCTCTACGTAAACAAGAATATGCAGCAATCACTTTGCAGGTATATATGCAGATATTGTTCCTTTTTAGTAGCTTCTGCAAATTTTATACTTGTTTATTTTTTTCTATCAAATTTTCCGTTTTCAAGCATCAGTGAATTTGAATCTGAGAGAAGTGTCGGAAGATAGACAAATTTGCAATGTTTTAATAATTTAGCGGTATTTGCGTGGGTGGTTAGCACGAAGAAACTATCGGCTAATGCAAAGGAAGAAAATGGTTTTTCAGGAGGAAGATGCAGCATTTATTGTGCAAGTGAGCACTTCTTGAATTAGTGTAGCGGTTAGGTTGGGTCTCATATGGTCATCTTCCACTAAAACTTTTATTTTGATGACCAGTGTACGATCTCTTTTATAATGATTATATTTCTCTTGTGAGACTTGTTAGACAAATATTCTAATCCTTATAGCTGCTTATTTACGCTTATGTGAACAATTTTAATTTGTGAACAGTCTAACGAAAGCTGCAAAGAGAAATCGGGAAAGTTAGATTAACTGAAATGAAGAATTATTTGTATATAAAAATATCAATAAATATTACGAAAGGATTTTCAGAATTTCATTTCTGACACAGAAAGCAGGAATGAAAGTTTTGAGAACAAAATGCATGGATGCAAGGTTATCAGTAGTAAAGAATACCTACAGATATTACGTGAACTGAGAAGGCAGCATAATCGTTTGCGACTTAAACGTCAGAACTTTTTTCGAGCTGTCGAGGTATTTTATAGACTAAGTTAATAGCAAGGAACAGCATTTTATTTTAATTTCAGCATTTATTTATAAAATTATTAAGTATTACAGGATAAAATAAAACTTGCACTCTTGCTTAAAAGAGAGAAAAATCGACGCATTAAAGCTGCCACAATAATACAGGTAATTTCTTTTTTCCTCAGAAAGTAGCTTAATATAAACAAAATTGAAATTCAGTTATGATAAATTTTTTAATCACGCAAAATTTGGAGGCATGGTGGCGTGGGTATCTTATTCGCAAGCGTTATGTAACAGCTCGCAATAAAATAAATGCGAATCGTGTCGTTCGTCAGGAAGCAGCAACGGATGAGGAACGGTCTGAACGAATGCAACCGATTATGCATCGAGTGAAGAATGCAATGGAAAATTTGAATTCAGAGCGCCTTTACATTCGTTACAAAGCTACTGAAGTGTTGCGTTAGTTACTATTATTATTATTTAGGCTGATAGTAATACTTTAATTGGTTTTGGTTATAAAATTCAGTTTTATTTTGCAGACTAATTATTAACGAGCTGATTTGCTATTCATTATTTTCTTTAAACATTTTAGAAAAATTTGTTGGTTTATCAGAGCTGTGTGCTCAGTACGTATTCAACAACGGCTGTCTGGAATGTGTTTTGGATTCCTTGGATAGTTGTAATCGTGGTGTTGGATCAACTGAAGTAGTGATTCCTCTTTGCTCCATCTTATGGAGTATATTGAAGGTTTCTAATTTCATTTAAACTCTAGTCATGACATTCAGATCTTTGTTTAAATTTCGCAAATACGTATACCTTAAATTTTTGCTAAGAAATCAGAAAAACGAAGTTTCAGTTCAAAATTATTCGGAACAATCTCGAAGAAGAACGCCGACAAGATATTGTGAGGCAATGTTATCATTTCATGTTAGCATTTCACAAAGTTCCAGATGTTGTGACCAATTTAACTGCAGTTATACTGGCATTAAATGCGAATAATAAACAGGTGAAAAAAATCTTTTTTTTTTAATTTCTAGTTTTACTGATATACGAGAGCGACTTGTACATAATAAGTTTGCATACATATATTATCGATCTTATGAGTTACGATGCATCGTGTTACTGATTCAATTGGGCTAATTTGGCAACGTAGGTTTGTGTGATTTCCGTTTGTTATCAACAAACTAATCGATAGTTATTTTCAGTATAAGAAGGCATCCTATTTTATTGCGGAATTAACGAAGAAATTTGCCAAATTATCAGAATCTGACGAGAGAGTAATTGCACTTCAAAAGCTTCAGTATCATGCTAGATTAAATTAGCAGAACTATGATATCAATTTCAAAATTTTTTATAGTAAATGTGAGCACATCGCTGTAATGCACAAATTGAATTAGTTGCTATTAATTCTCAAAAATTTAAATATACTTTACAATTCCATTCTGTTATGAATCGAAATAAAATTCTTTTTACAACCAGGATTTTATATAACTTGCGCTTGTAAATGATATACACTTCCACATTTCTTATTCTATTGTATATCATTTCATATTCAATTGTATAATTTATATCATTTCATTTGATATCATATCATTATTGATTGATTTGGCATGACATTTCAGACAATGTATTATTTAAAATATCTTTTCAATGTAGTTTTAATACAGTGTTTACTTACTTCTCATGTTTTGAAGCAGTTAACTACAATAATATCCCCTTTTTCAATTTCATATGTGCAGTTCTCTTAGGTCAAAATTTGGCTTTAATGTTTAGAACATAATACATTACATTCCTTTGAGAACTAGATCTATTTCTTGAAAATACCACTGACATCAACTTTAACATTTTAACAAAAACTGTCAAATATTATTTAATATGACCAGTAATTGAAATACATTTATTAACATATAAAAATTTATATTTCACTTTAAATGATCTATAGTTCCATACAATTGTTATTTTTCTTGTACAATTGATGTATGCTGCAGTTTTCTGAATTATTCATTTTAAGAGAACGAAATAATCCAAAATATGTTTCTCACTGGTGTGTCATTTTACGATTTGCTTCATTGTCCTGCAATACAATTCCAAGTCCTCGTAAAGCTGCTACTCCAAAGCCAAGTCCATGAGCAAGAAGATCTAAGCCAGGATTTGTTGGTATCATTCCTTTATTCAAGAAATTTAATACATCCAAATCACCGATTAAAGGTGATCGATATCGTGAAGTGTAACCAAAAAACGATGATGGCATTTGTGGTCCGATTATACTGGCTTGATATGGTAAATCTTGTCCAAATGTTGTTGATATTATCAGGAAAGTAATTAGGAATGGTTGCATTATACCTTAAAATAGTACAGTTTCATTTTTTTTTTTTTGAAATAAATTTATGATGCAAAAATAAGTAAATTATCCTTTTTATCTCTTTCGATAAGTGTAATTGGTATTAATATTTAGAACTTAATACAAATGAGATTTATTTCGCACAAAAATTACCTGATATAATCAAATTACCTGAAGTAATAAATGATGGACGATACAATAACAGTCGTAAGTTGATCATATAAAGCAGTTATCAAATGATCATTTTTATAGTGAACTGTGAAATATTTGTACAAATATTTGATAGCTTAATAAAGTGTTAAAGATCAAGATAAATGTAAACAAAAAAATCATAAATTTAGTTGAAATATGAGGATGAATTGTTATTCTTAATAGTTTTCTGGAACCACTTACTTCACTTTATATAAATAACTATTTAATTCTTTTAGCAACTAGCAGTTTCCTATTTATAAATGTAAAAAAAAAAAGAGTTATTTAACAATGAATTACAATTTGCTACTGAAAAAAAAAAAAAAAAAAGTGTCAAAGATTAAAATAAATGTAAATAATGCAATCACAAATTTAGTTGAAGAATGCGAACGAATTGCTATTCATTAATATTACTAGAAGCACTTGCTAAATTCAAGATTTTCTACTTTTTTTTTTTTTTTATTAGCATTAATTATTTCAATCCTTGATCATTTAATCATTCGTGGAATTTTTTTTGTTGTATTTTATGATTTTCTAAATTTGTCAATATTTATTTACAAAAAAAAAAAAAAAAAAAAAAAAAGGGAAGAAAACTTTTAAAGTTTGACATGGATCAGTTTCTTCTCGATAATTGCTAACAATTTGAGGTTAATTTAACTTCTCTTACTCTTTCATTTCATTTCTGTATATTCCATATTTTTGCAATTATTAATGAGCTTTTTAAAAATGCTAATATAAAAAATAATTAGCTATTAGCATTTCCATTTCAAATTTTATTTTATTCAAAATTTATTATTACTATTATTATTAATGAGTTTAGAATAGAATAGGAAAGTTATTGAATTGTTAAAAAAATGAAAAAGTAACGAAATGAAAGAAAAGACAAACAAAAACAAAAATTACAATGAATTTTAATACTTAATATAATTGATGCATTAGTTATTCCTTGTCGCATTACCTTTGTCTTTCTTTTTACTTTTTTTTTTTTTTGAAAGTTTAATTTCTTTGCAATAATTTAAAAAAAAAAAATTACAAAATTTGGGTATTTTCGAACAGATTATTGTGCATAATGGATTATTCGAGGGAGAGAGAGAGAGAGAGAGAGAAAAAAAAAGGCAAACAAAAGCAAAAATCAGCGCTACACCAAAACTTATTTCAAAATATTTTTGAAATACAGAATTTTTTTTTTTTTATTCTTGGATTTATGTTTACAAAGTTTTATTGAACAAAACAATATGTATGTAATAATATTTACAATATTTGTATAAAATATAAGAAAAATAAAAATAAAAAAATGTTTGAATTAATTTCAAAAAGTTTTCTTCTCATTTATTCATTCGAATACAACAACAACATTGATTTGATGGCGATAATGAAGTTTGCATTGGATTGAATATAAATTGTGGTTGATTAATTTGTTGACTGCAACCTGAATTTAACATTTTTTATTTTTTATTTATTTAATTGACAAGCTAATACTATTTATTCATATAATATTAATAATAATAATAATAATATTTTTTTAAAACTAAATTGATTTGAAGTAACTTTTACAATATTTCCTATTATTTTCTCTAAATATTGATATTAGTGAGAAAAATAAAACAAAAAATGAAAAGATAAGAAGAAGGAAAATTTTATATTTAAACATAAAAAGAAATAATTATATTCAAAAATTAAAATTAAATCAAACTATTTCGTACAAAAGCTATCGAATATAAAGTAAAAAAAAAAAAAAAAGAAGAAAAAAACTATGTTATCGCTTATGAATTAATAATCAATAATATCTGCAAAAAAATTTGATTAAAATTTGATGAAAAAAGAATTAATGTGAAAATTTTTACTCAATTTTTTACTAATATATATTTTGTAACTAATAGATTTAAAAATTTTTTAAAAACAAAAATTTTGTGCATTTCTTTTTTCTTTTTGATAAAAAATAAGTTAAAATCCACAATTTAAATAATAAATATTGATGTAGTAAATTTTTTTTTTTTTCAAAAAAATTTTAAATAAAAATGAAAAATACTTGATGCATGAGGTGGTGATGAACAAATAAAACAGGGTGCTTGACATTGTTGTTGTGTAGATGACGAAGATAAAAGTGGAATTTGAATCATTTGCATATTTCCAAGTAAATTAGCCGAGGTTATATCATTTAAATTAAAATCACCTAAGCTATTTAATCTTAAATCATTCAAGCCAAATCCAGTAAAATCAGAAAAAGATTGTAAACTTTCTTTTGCTAAGGTATTAGCAACAAGTGGATAAGGTGGAGGCCAAAAAAAGCCATTGTTGTATTTTCTGGCAGAGCCAATAATTCTTTGTAATGATTGATCATATGTTTTGACATTTGCAAGCGCAGGAATGGAACCAATATATGGTGAAATTGGTGCTGACAAATGCGCCTGAGTATATGAATGAATTAAAAAGATTGCAGAAATAATCCGAAACATATTAAAAAACCTGAAAAAGAAAAAAAAAAAAGCATATCACAAAAATATGAAATTTCATTTATTTATCCCAAATTAAATCTGAAAATTTAATTAAAATTAACAATTTGATAATATTTTTCTAAGATATATGAATGAGAAATTTTCAAAAGATTACTTAGCAAAAAATAGTTTTTTTCTGTTAAATTTAGATTTATCTTTGGAAGAATTCATTCTATTAAAGTTAATTTTAAACTTTGTTAATATTGTTTTAAAAAATTTTTACTTCCATGATAAGGAAACGTATAATTAAAAAAAGAAGACGAAGAAAGAAAATTAAGTCAAAATGTAAAATTACCTTGGCAAACAATCTTTTTTTTTTTTAAATCTTAAATATCAATTAAAAGACTAAACTGATAAATGTTTGATCAGTAAGTCACTTTTCAAGTTTTAAAGTTTTATAAACAGTAAAGTTTATTAGAAAGAAAGAGTTAACATTGCATAAGCGCTAAGGTAATATAATTTAAATGCATCATACTAGTTTTTTCTTCAAATCTCCAAACAAATCCCCTCAACAAAATCTAGATTTACTTGTTTCAGAATTTAAATTTAAATCTAAAAATTCAATTTATTAAAAGCTGAAACTATTAGTTAAAAATATCCAAACAAATTAAATCAAAAAAAAAAAAAAATCGCTGCTAATGATGAAATGAAAAGCGAACAGAGTAAGATGAAAAAAATAAGACATTTTCAAATATTTCAAAATAAAATTTGCTGAAAAAAGAAATTAATTTTACCGTTTTAAAGTTAAAAAATCCAGTATTTGTACTATTTCTTAGGTATTACTTGTTCTATATTGTATATTCCTCACTCCTTCAATTGGGTTGATAAGTAAATACGAGCTGAAAGTTAGTTTAAATCATTTCATGAAAACCGGAATGTAGAATAAATTGAACTAGAAAATCCGGTCCTATATCTCGGCTAGATTCCTAACCAGATAATAATGAAGAATGTATTTATTTACATAACATCGTCACTTTTGTGAATTAAAAGTGAAATTCTTTTATAAATAATAATAGAATAAAAATTCAAAAAGCATTGTCTAATATATGTAATTAATTATTTTATTATAAAATGTGAATAATTCGACTTTTTCTATGTAATTAAAGAAATGTTTGTTGAAAAATGCGAAGCATTCTTTAATATTTATAATATCTTAACTTCTTTTCTAAAGTTTGTTGGATAATTTTTTTCAGGTATCACAAGCTAATAATTTAATTTCATAATCAGTGTGCTATTTTAATAATTCAGTATAAAGTTATCACTGATAAATTAATTCATGATTTAGCATGCTAATCAAATAATTCAATTTGTAGTTATCACTGATAATCTAATAATTCAAATTTGTGATCAGTATGCTAATTCAGCTCATAATTATCATTGTTAATCCAATAATTCAATTCATTTTCTAATAATTCAATTTCATCTTATTTAAAATTTATAATCTTTACAAACAGTTTAATAATTTAATTCCCTTAAATTCATTTATTTTAATTATGAGTTAGCTCGTTTTCTTTGTAGTTTTAATGTTAAAATTTGCAATTATAGCATTTTAACTTTTAGGATTTTACTGTTTAAGGCTGAGTTGCAATATCATATTGCTTATCACTATAGTTTTATATCTTATTGCTTATCATTAATAATCACAGTATTTTACTGTTCAACATTATCACTTATATGCCTTGCTGTTTATCATTATCAACTACAATATCCTACTATTTATCATCAATTATATATTTTACTGTCTATCATTATCAGTTATAACATCTCACTGTTTAAAGTTGCAAAAAAAGAAAAACACAGACAATTGAATTATTGTATATGTCAAATTTGAATTCAGTTTTATTCTATTTATCAAAAAAAAATTAAAAATCTAACTGTTATGATCCAATTATTCTTATTGTTACTTATGCTTGCAATAAAAATTGCTATAAAATATTAGGACAACAATCCAAGTATACTAGCAATAAAAACCGCTATAAAATATTTGAATAAACACTAACAGAATAATTTCCTCTCCAAAATATTAAAATAGTACAAAAGATTAGAATTTGACGTGAAATTTTAACAATTATTTAAACATTTTATCATTTATTGGTGAAAATTCTTTCCGAAAACTATTCTACTATAAATGAAAAATGAAAATATAGTTAATCAATTCAATGAGAAGACCATACAATAAAATCACTTAGCTCTAACCATCTTATCTTTTTGCTTCTTCAAAAATTTATTTTTGCTAATTGTATTACAAGAGAAAATAAACCATTTGTAAGTATCAAAGTCGTTACTTAATCCATTTAATTCGGTGTAGAAGAAAATATTAACAAATTTCAGTCTTTTATTAAAAAATAAAATATTTCCATCTAAGGTGTAAACACAGTAAAGTAACTGAAAAGCTGTTTAAAGTAAAACGCAGCCTAACAAAATATTTGTGCTTCTTTTTGTGTTTTAACAAATTAACTGATATTTCATTTTCTTTTTTTTTCTTTTCTTATTTTTTGTTTTCATTTTAAGCATTAAAATGCTAGTTTAAAAAATGGAATAGTTTAAAAAATGGATTATAAATTAAGGTATGCATGAGAGAAAATGTGATATTTAATAAAATAGCATTCACAATCATTATATATTAATGACAACATCATGATCTAAATTACAGATAAGTCAATAAAAAGTGCAAAATGGAAATATGGAAATTACATATACACACTATCACAAGCAACTAACTTCATATCAAAAAAGAAAAAAAAAAAAAAAAAAAAAAAAACTCTTGTCTTTCCAATCTCTTTTCATAATTCATTTGTTTTTTTCATTTAAGCATAAATTGCTATGGAAAAATTTAAAAAGTGAATTATAAATTAAAATCTACATAAGAAAAATGTATTTATTTCCGATTACAATTATTTTTCTTCGAATTTTCTCCCTGCACAATTATCAGAATAAAAAGAAGTAAGATGTGCTCATATTCGAAGAGAAACACAATAAGCACTCAGATTAAAATTCTCGATATCACATGAAATACCCTTATGGAAAATTAAAAGAAATTGATTTTTGCTAAATTATACCTGATAAATTTTAAATCAAAACGAAACACCAGCAAATTTATTTTTGCCGGTACAAAATACTGAACTATCACATTATTAATATGAATATACACAATTATATGAACAGAAGTGATGCATTAAAAAATACAAGACAACAACTATCCCTCCTTTTTTTCTATAACTTCAAGCTCTTTATAACTTCGAGATCATTCCGAAAGTGATATTTTAAATGTTCACAAATAAACCATATGTATACTCACAAACTAATCCATTTTTTCAACACTTTCAATTGCTTTTATTCGATAAGATAAATCCCGAATCCTGAAAGTTTGTCATTTTTAATTGGGAAATACCAAGTTATAATTCGGTTGTAAACTATTTAAAATATTGTGGCATAGCAAAATTTGTATTATCATCGTACATAATTAACACAACGAAAAAGACGATAACCAAAGAGAACCTAGCACTGAATTCAGAAACAGTAATTCTTTTAAAATTGATGAAAATCTATTGATTTCATCAACAAATAGAGTTGACCTCTTCAAATAGATAATAACTAAGATATCTTCATACCTTTGGATAATTTCATTCCTAACTGGCGTAGTGAAATGATTCAATAAACAAGAAACCGTCACAAAAGCAAACGCAACATTATACGTCCAAACTAATGTGAAATTGGATAACCACATAAAACTGCCGTACGCTCCGACCAGATCGAATGTCGTAATTCCTAAAAAGAAAATGTTTAGTTCTGGAAGCTGATACGATTCCACGATGACATATATGAGAAATGTAGTGATGAAACAAACCAAGAGTTCGTGCAAGCACTGGAAGAGCTGAACTAAGTACTAGAACAGTGGTACAGTTCGCAATCACGCATGTCATAGATGTTTTATGCAACTGTGGTCGAATTCTTCGTAACAATGGTACTGAATAAACTCCAATCATTGCAGCAATCATTATATACCTAAATAATCATACACTGGTCGCAAAGTAATTAGATTAAAGGTATAGTTATAGAAATCATCCAAACTTATACGGACCTATAAAATACTTCAATTATTTAACTTTAACTGTTTTGATGTCTTACCAAATTATGATGACTTCTATGACAGCTCCAAAAATGCCTAATGTATGACGTGAATTTACTTCCATGTATTGCGCATAAACAGGCAATGCCCGAAAACCAAATAGCAACTGCAGCGTATTGATTAATACCATAAGCACAGTAATTGCCTAAAATTATCCAAAACAACCACTAAGAAAAATGCAAAAACTATGGAAGTTATTATTATGAAAAACAAATAAATATGCGATAAAACCATAAGAACTGAGTGAACTGGACAAACTTATTAAATTGTCAATAATTGAATTGAAAGTTATTGTTTGTTATTTTGATAATATTTTGATAAAAAGCATTATTTGATTAACTTACAGTTAGAAGAAGCAAGACAACGATCGCAAATACATATTTCACCGTTTGTAATACAACTTGATAGCCACGAAGAGGCTTCTGTGGAAGAAATGGATCTGGAAGTGATACATCTCCAAGGTTGTTTCGTCGCAATCGTCTTTTAAGAGTTTGGTATTCCAGTCGAAATATCGCTTCCTCTAACGGATCGATAATTTTTTGATGTTCTGTTGCAAGCAAATGGTTCGATACTACTGAGAACATTCTTGCTAATCCTGGAATTAGAAATAGTCACTGCTATAATTCTTATAATTGTCATCCTACTGAAATCTATTACAAATCTAGAACTCATAAAATAGGATACTTTCTGCCATATGAAAGAATATAAAAAACTAGAAAAAAAAAGTGCAAAACTACCTATGGGAGTTGTGATCAGCAACGTCAGTACACCAAGCAAGGAAACACACGAATATAGAAATGGCAAATTGACAGATGTGAAAGTGAGTATAGACAATGAAATTGAATCGCTTTCTGTCTGAAGATTATATATAAGATAAATAAAATCAACAAATCATTTTCTTTTTTTTTTCTTTTCTCTAAGATTTCATTTAAGCATCTTCATAACTCTATAGAAAATAGGAATGAAAGTTTTCGTTTTTCTAAGATTAAACTAAAAACACCAAATTCGGAGAATAAAACTAAACGAAGCAGGAACTCAATCAAAGAACTTTGGGTTTAATACAACTTAATTTCGCGGATGCGTATTTTAGATAAAGAGTAAGTAGGAAAGAGATAAATAAGAATACTCCGAATCATCAAAATTATAATTAAAAATAATACTTACAAGGAAAAGAGAGTATACAACGTCTGCTAAGCATATTAAAACGATAATAAGAAGTATACAGACCGCAACAGTTTCATACACTCGAGTCATTATGCCCTAAAAAAATTCCAGAAAACATTATATCAGACTACTACACCAAATAATAAAGGATTTCAAAAAAAATGTGATAGTAGAAAATTCTCAGTAATATTCATCGGCCACATTTCATCCGATAAGTTTCGCTTAATGAGGGAATATTCCTGTCCGGACTAATAAAGTTCAAAACTATCGACAGCTGATATGAATGCCGAATTAAAATTAACAGTTCAATTTTTGGCATTCCGTTTATCCAATGTAAGATAAAATCAGCTATAATACTAGAAGAATTCAATAAGAACTATAGTAGTTTTATGATTTTTCAAAAAGGAGAATAATAAAACTTAAAACTGAAAAAACAAGGACGCAAAAACTCATTACCTTTCCATGGCCTTTGAATCCTTGAGATTCAATAAAAAAATAAGCAAATGGAAGAAGTATAAACAGCGACAGATTGCTTAAAGCAAAAATATAGTTCCAAAGTGAGTGTATCAGAGGCCAGTTCAACCACTGGAAATAATAACTGTCGGGATAAGCTTGTATTATTTCAGATCCAATCACAGAAAACGGCAATAATGTGGCAGCTCCCATCGATACTGCCAAAGACCATGTACACATCCATAAACTACAAAAGAGTATTAATGAAATATTAAGCAATTAAAGTTAAGTAATATGAACTTAATATCTGAAACGTGCTGAGAAGCATTCATATCTATCAAATAATATTAGACTTACGAAACACGAAACACAAAAAAATCCTCGCCGCCAGCGTACAATTCATCATTATCGCTTCGTTCTTTCAATATACGAATGATCGAGTACGAAATTAAATATAAACATATAAACAATAGCATACAGATCTGAAAAGATTGAGCAAAAACTTCAATAGATGAATACTTTTTGCTCATTTATGAAAACTACAAAGGACAATCAACAGAAAGCTTCTATCCACCTTATTTTTCTTCCGCTTTTTCCTATGTTGTATATCCAACATATCAGATAGGAAAACGAAAGAGACTTCTCAGTAACTCTGAGCATTGATTATAAAGTAATGTTAAACGAATTTTAAAACTATACTTCATTGAACAACAAATTAAGATTGAAATATTCTCATCTAGATTATCACATACAGTTCAGGTTTTCAAAATCCCAGCTAAAAGCTAGTCTTAAAAAAAGAAGCATATTCATCAAATGTACACAAAAATTACTCTACTTACTATCTAATATCAAGAAAAACAAAAAAAAAAAGGAATAGAAAAAAAACAAATTTACAATGATACACTTACAATATGTTGACGGATGAACTGATGGAAACGTTGTTCACGTTCACTAACATCCTCATATTGATCCATTGTACTAACTCATCGATGCGTACGTTATTCCTTTTTTTTTTTCTCCTTGTTATTTGCTTCCTATAAAAGTAAGAAGAAAAGGAAAATGAAAAGAAATCTTAAAACAACTAAATAAAAATTTATTTCTCAAACAATTGTTTGGTGACACTTATCAACCCGTCATTCTTCTTCTCTTCCTTCCATGAAAGAAAACCTGAAACCACGCGAACATAAGACGATCCTCTTTATAACGAATTTTTTTTTACGGTACTTGTTAAATCCGAACGCTAATGTGTACTAACCGTATCCAAAGTTTGTTATGAGTTATGTTGGATTTTTACGCTTTCATTGTATCACTGTTATATTAAGCTTTTAAATTTTGACAGTATTTAAAAGATATGTTTGTTACTTTTAATATCACATTATTTATACGTTTTAGTTTTATTGTACAATTTCCCAATAGTTCTATTTATTTTATTTCCTCACAAATCCTTCTTCATAAATTTTAATAAACACAATTTGCTGAGTCTTTTTTCGCTAAAATTTGACAAATATTTGATGTAATTGTTTTAAAATAACAAAAAAGAGCTACCATTCTCAACTATTCATCGTAGTATTTGCTTAGATGGTAATAAATTTAACTGTTTAAACTGATTCTGACTTTGATTTCAGAATAATGAAATCGGTAGCTGTTCAGGAAGCTATAACAGTTGCTAGACTGAAAGCTAAAAAAAGTAACTTGGTGTATGGTTGTGGTTTTGGGAAAACAGGGAGTCTTTTTACGAAAGTGTTGCGAGAAACCGGACAAAATGGATTCAAGAAACCTCGACAAATTTTGTATTTTAATTCACGTAATATTCGTCATATTGCAGCCGGATTTGGCTTCTCAGTTTTAGCATCAGAGCAGAAACTTTACGGCGGTGGCGTTGATATTTTTAGCAACGATTTAAATAATAGGAATTATTGGAATGAAGGTATTTGCTTGAATACTAATGCCAAAAAAGAGCAGTTTGGTACCATAATAAGCGTTGCAGCTGGTCGACGACATTTTCTGGTTGCATCCAAAAAAGCAGTTTATGCATTTGGTGATAACGCTCATGGGCAGTGTGGACAGGATCCTGAAAATGTGCCCTTCGTAAGACTGGAAAATAAGCCATTTCAAAAAATTATGATTCCTTCGGATTCAAAAATTGCTGAAATACATTGCACGCTAGATACATCATTCATCATTCTGGATTCTGGTGAAGTGTTTTCATTTGGATTAGGTACAGATGGACAGTTAGGACGTGGAATATGTAATTATGATTGGCGGTGTCTACCAATTGAAGGTGATTTGAAAGGAATGAAGGTAGCAGCTTTAAAAGGAAGCACGGATACTTTGATGGCGGTGACAGAAAGCGGTGAATTATTCATGTGGGGACAGAATGAATACGAACAGATGCATCCATTTGTGAAGGATATTCAAAGTGGTTTTCCATGTGAAATTCGTCTTTCCATGGAGAAAATTATAGCAGCAGATTCCACAGCAACTTCTTGCATAGCATTAAGTAGCAATAATCAAGTTTATGTTTGGGGTTTTGGAATCCTCGGTATGGGACCCTATGTTACATCATTACGACGACCGGCACTTCTGGAAAATAATCTTTTCAGCGGCGGTCCGAATGATTCGGGTAAAGTGAAGAAAGTTTTTGCTGGTAATTCTTCGATGTTTGCAATTTCAAAAATGGATAATCTCTTTTCTTGGGGTCTTAATAGGTTCTCTCATTTAGGTCTTTCACATGACAAAGATCAATATTTTCCATTTCAAGTTGATGTAATGAAAAAACCATTAGATGTATCCGTTGCACCTGATCATGTATTGTTTTTGATGAGGTGATATGTAGCATCTATCATGTTCCTGGAATTGTTATTAATTCCATGTTAGATAATTCAAAATATGGTTAAAAAGACTATTTTATTGTCTTCTTTTGCGAATATGCCTTATTCATATATTTTTTTAAACGTCGTTCTCTTATTTTTTTAAAGAACTTTCCGATGATCTCTCCTTGTATGTTTCCATTAAGTTTTAAATGTAATAAATAATTAGAGGCATTGGTTACTAAATGTCCGATAGTGATGAAACTGATGAAGAACCATCAGACGACATTGATATCAACTCCAGAAAAGAAGATGAACAAGAAGTGGAAAATGCTGCGGCGAGCAGTTTGGAAGAAGAAATTTCTAAAAATTTCAAATATGCAACATTGTGCAAGTACTTAGATCATATGCAGAAAATTCATTTCAAAAATAAATTAGGCAAGGAACGAGTGTTGAAAGCATTAGTGACAAAATGGACAGCAAATGCAACTAAATATACAAATGATACCGTTAGTTTTTATCCGGTTTTACGTATTATGGCAAATTCATTGGATCGACGAAAATTTCGCATGAAATCGGTTTGTTCATACTAGGATTTATGAAGAAAAAAATTCATGACTCGTACTGTATAAAGTATTTTAAGCGTGTTTTCTAGAAATATGTCAGTTATATGTGTAGAAGCTAATATTTTTGATTGTATTTTTTTCTCTGTGATATTTTATTTGCATTAATGAATTTTACAGAAACGAATTATATCGAAAGTATGCCAAGTGTTGCTTCTTCCGCCAAAGACAAAAAAGGAATTGTTGCAGATAGATTCCAAGGTAAATATATTTATTAATTTCGCTTAAAATTTTTAATTTATTCTCTTCATTTTTTACTGATGGAATAGCTTTTTGATTTTCTCTTTAGGAAGATCACATAAGAATATTAGAAGTGTACGGCATAGATTGCGATATATTGTGTATTGATTACATGGCAGATTGTTCGCGGTGTGAGCATCAAAAATAGCTTCTATCTTCTTGCTTCAATATTTCTAGTAGGCAAAATTCTTCAGATATGCTAAGGCTAACATGACTGCCGAATATATGATCTTAAAGAGAAAATCAAAAAGCTATTCCATCAATAAAAAAAAAGTAGTAAAATGAAGATTTTTTTCATTTGATTATCATTCTTTTAGTTCGATTATTAAAATCGGAATAAGACTCAATTATTCCGTTATTGTTATAGTAATGCGAAATGTGCTTTAAGTAAAGATGAAATTTTTTTTTAAAAAAAAAGAAAATCATCTGTTAAATCATTTTCAGAGTGCAGACCAGTCGATTATGAAACTTGCAGAAGAAGTTTCGATGCGAAATTCAGCTACTGCTAAGCGTGAACTGTCTCTTTTTGATGTGAATGATTCGCTGTGCAAAATAACAGAAAGAGAAATAAGTATATATTTGTTTTTGCTAGGTTATAAAGATTTATTTATAACACAATCCGAAATTATTCTTTAATTCATTTTTCCGAATTCATAGTTTTTGTTTTTAGGTGACGCAGAACTAGAGAAGCTTTTAAAAGCTTGTACAACAATGCGCGAAGTCTATTGGCTTTTGCAAGTATTGGTTCGTAAGATTGAAGTAAGTTATATATTGTGAGTACACACATTCTCATTATGTCTGTCTAATAATCCTCATCAAATTTTCAAAAAAAGTTTTGTTGATTATACATTTTGATATCGTGGCTGACTCGAAAATTATAATAATTTGTAGAATTCGGCATAAACCAATAATGGTTCATATTATGTATTAAATGATACATAATAGGTTACTACTAATATTTTACTATTGCATTACTTCTTTGTTGAAAAAAAAAAAAAAAATAATGTATTTCAGCGCTCTTTAAAGGTAACATCTTCAAGTTTAGTAAGCTGGATACATCCCAACGGAGCTACATTATATCAGTCTGGAGTGAGTTTGCGGGAAATATGTGATCTTGCTGCGGAAGGTAAAATGACAAACAATTCGAGCATGCTTTTTCGTCGTTTTGAACCAATGTTATTATCAAGAATCAGACACGGTACTGGAGATGTTTACGACAAAGTAATTACTTCAATATAAAAATTTAATTACTTCAGTTGCATATGGAAAAGGTAATTGTGTAAAATTTTAATTAATATTGAACATTTAATTAAAAGTCTCTTTGGGAGGTGCGGTTATTTTGTATGATGTTGAAAATCCGAGAATTTCCGGCCTTCTATGATAGTTCAGCAGGTAATTTCATGTAAATTTGAGCTGGTTCATTTCTGTGGCCAAGAATTTTATGTGGAATTAAAATATGATGGTGAACATTTCTTATTGCACAGAGGAACGAATTGCGAAATGCGGTACTACTCTCGAGTTCAAAACGACTTTACAAATACCATATCACCAGTGCTTGATCATAGAATTAATCCGTATTTTTCGCCATCACTTGAAAGCTGTATATTGGACACTGAATTATTACTATGGGATATTATCGACAAAAAATTCGGTTAGTTCAATTAATGCTAAAAAAATTGTTTCGGGCCATTTTTCTGCAAAAAATGCAAAGTGAGTTTTCCATTACTCCACGATATATAATATAGCTGAGTACACTATAATATGAAAAACAATATTCCAAAAGGTCCCAGATCATACCAGTCTTTGGAGCATAGTTGACACTGCTAGTAATTTCTTATCAAAAGGCTGATGACTATCTGTTGCTGTGGATTTTCCGACATTTTTTCAGTTTCCTTTTTTTAATTTTTGAAATCCTAATCTAAACTGTTAAATTTTCCAATATGTGGAACATTACCTTTGTAGTTGGACATAATACGCTAGCATCGGATGGTCGCATTTATGATGTGAAAGCTCTCAGATCTGATGGTGCAGTAGAGCCAAGTGTTGCGGTATTTGATATTTTATTTTTAAATGGAAAATCATTAATGGATGTTCCATTGAGCGAAAGAATTGCTCTTCTTCAAAGTGGTAATGTTTTGCAAAAACAAGACGAAACAAAAATATTCGTATCGAAGTTCACTGTTGTCAAAACGAGGTCAGTTTTCCTCGTTGGATTAGTTCAATATAAAATCATCGAAGCATATCGAAAAAGAAAACCGATAAAATCAATTAACTGAATTATAAGTAGATTGTATATGTACTTGAGGAAGACAAACATTTAATAATACAGTACAGAAAAAATTTGCAAGAGAAACTTTTTTTTTAATTTTGCACGAAACAGTTTTGTTAGTCTAATTAGAGAGTTGTGATAGATTTCAAACATTTTTTAGAAATGTTAGGTGATAACTGTATTATTGTATTTCATGTTCATTTTTGTAGGGAAGAATTTGCTTCACTGTATGAAGAAGCTGTAATGAATGGTCAAGAGGGCGTTGTGGCAAAGAAAATGAATTCTATTTATAAAACGGGCGTGCGTCAAATGGCAAATGGTTGGTTTAAGGTATTTTTTTGTCCATTTTTTGTCGAATTTTTTTAAAAAGTAATTTTATCCTTTTGACTTAACAGAGTTATGTGTGTTGTATGTTCATTTTTTTTTTTTTTTTTTTAAATGTTAGCTCTTATAAGTATTTATATAACTTTAGGTAAAACCGTTTCATCTGGGCGATGAAACATTAGATCTTGCAGTTGTTGGTGTCGATCTTGGTAGGAATAATAAAATCAGTAGTTATTGTTTGGCAACGCTTAGAGGTACTGTCCATTTATTTCTGCTTATCACGAAATATTTGTCATTATTGAATCATTTACATATACAAGTTTAATCATAAATTCGATTATGCTTTTTCATAATGTTTCGTGAATTTTGTTTTTTAGATGGTAAGTTCTTCATGGTTGGTAAAGTAGGAACAGGATTGGATGATACAACTCGTTCATTTCTTAAAAGTCGTTTGACACGAGGCCATGGTTTCTTCAAAAGTGATAAGGTTCCAAATTGGATTCATAATGATTACACGACAAGCGATTTGCCAAGTCATTTTGTAAATCAGAATAACATACAAGTTGTTGAGGTATTTTTTGATCCATTAAAGGTACAACAGAATTAAGCTGTTATGAAAATTTCAAGCTATTTCAGTTGATTAGGTTTTCTACTTAATCTTCGAAATTTATGCCAGATTCGAGCTAAAGGATTAAGAAATGGGAGATTATATGCTCCGACTCTGAGGACATATCGAGATGACAAATATGTTAAAGACATCGATCAGTACCAAGCATTTTTAGACTTTGATAAGGTTCCTTCTTTTTTTTTTTTTTTTTTTTTTTTTTGGGGAGGGGAGAGGGAGGGCATGTGGGCGAGAAGGGTGGATGTAGAAAATTGGTTGGAAATGTACTAACTATAATCACCGAAATTACTTTACAAAGTATTTTTTTCAGAATTTACGTCTAGATAGTATAAAAAATGCGCAAAGCGTAACAAATACAAAAAGACATACGACAAATGTACATGTACTTGAGCAATATCAAACTAAGAAAGCGCGTATCGAGGAAATAAATCAGGATTTAAAAGAGAAACAAATTTGTATCTTAAGAGGTACCTCTAGTGTAACAACGCAGGATCTGCAAGCGATCATTGATTCATTTGGTGGGATTCACGTCGCTAATCCAGGTTTAGTATCTACATTCTCAATTATAGTTTTTATTTTACGATTTTATTCATGAATTTATTAAGAAAAAAAAAAAAAAAGTAATAATTTCTAATGAATTCTGTTCAGGTCCTAAAACACTTTTTGTTGTAACTGGAGAGCCCAAACATGTGAAATCAAAATCGATTATTAAAAGTAACAAATATAATGTTGTCAGCGCAGACTGGCTTATAGCATGTAAACATATGGGCAAAGTCATACCTATGTAAGTTTTTATTTTATAAAACGTTAGAAAAGTGCACTTGACAAGAAAGTTTTGGAGTAAATGCATTCTTCACCACTTGTTGAAGGTTATTATTTATATAAACTTTCCTCAACATTGTTTAATTTGCATCCTGGTTTTAATATGCATTCTGACCCTTTCTGTGAAAAAATAATTCTTTGATTTTCTTTGATCCGTTTTCTAATGTTGTTTTTTATACTTTTATAATGTAACCAATCAAGAACTAAACTTGATCTCTGTTCTTATTATATAAAAGTCACTTGCTGTTTGTTAAGTTTGCATTAACATTGGAACGTAAATTCGCTATTGCAGTACGAAGAAAGAAACTGTTCACGTTGTTGACGATAGTCTTTATTCTTTATTTGGAGATGATAAAGTATCAGAAAATTCCATCATGCTATCGAATTCTACTGCATATACAGTTGCAAGTGTTAGTGCTTTGCTGGACAAGATAAAAGTACCTAAGGTTAGTTCTTAAACATATTTGCAAATATGGATTTGTTGGTTTCAGTGATTTGCATTTCAAACAAGAATTGATTTTCTATATTTCAAAATTTTTAGCGGAAAAAACCGTTAGCTGCTGAGGAAGCATTAAGAAAACAACTATTTATGGATGATAAGTTTAATCGATTTTATGGTCAAACATTTTATTTACATGAGAACTTAACGAAAATTCAAAAAATATATGCTCAAATTTTATTGCGAATGCACGGTGCTGATCTGAGTACAAATAAAAGCAGTGCTGTTACTCATATTGTTGTTCCTGACAGGTATAATCTTTGTTCTATGAAAAACTATCAGATTTCCCAGAAAAAAATTTCATTATATATTTGTATAATTGAATACATGATACTTGCAATTTAAATCTTAAATTTTTATCCGTTTGTACCTATTTTCATCGACATTATAATTTTTTTATTTATTTTTTGTAGAATATCATTTTGAAATTGAAAGAAAACAATTTTTTTTTTTTTCAGGAAAAAAGCGTATGACAACTTGTTAAAGAAAATGGCCACTGTTGATATTTGCTGGCTGGAGAACACACTCGATTTACTATAACGTCTAAAATTTTAAAAATCAATTCTTTTTTCATTTTTTTACAAATAATTTCCTTAAAATTATGGTTTATTCGCATGAATAACCATTACTTTTATGTTTTGACTGGATTATTTGGCTTTAGAAAAAATTATCTGTAAGGATCGCAGAATTAATGTCATTAAAAAATGGATGTGATCAAGTGTATCAGGGATATTTCTTTATTTTTCTTTTCTCCATATTGTATAATTTCTATTACATGCATCAGACTCCCGAGTATCTCCGGAATGTTAGTTTTTAAACTTTATTAAATAATCAAATTGCATGGAATAAAATTTAAGAAAAGGTTAACGCAGTTTGTTCGTCGCATTGAAAGTTTTGATATATAAAAAAATGATGAAGAAATTTCAAAGACATTCCATTTAATAATTTTCAAATGAAAATTATAAGATAGCGAAGGTAGATATTTCCTCAATTATGGACATTTTCAAAACAAAATAAGTTATTGTATTTAGTATAATTGTTTCTTCTGAGCTTTGCGTTATGTAATAGTAAAGTTTAGTCTTTCTTTGTGTTAGGAAACAAAGATAAGTTTTTTTTTTTAAAAAAAAACGTTTATGATTCTTTACTTTTCTAAGAAATATTCCTTCCGAATAAGAACTTGTCAAAGTTTCTTCCTCTGTAGGGGATATTTTGAAAAATAGCTTCTGGTCATAGAGTACCTAAAACTTTTTTTTGTTTGTTTTTATATGTTTCATGTGTGAGATATTTGGTCTCCTGACCATGGTTTTATCACCTTGACTGTAATTTTAAAATTCTATTTCTGTGGTATAATCGGCATGAGTTGAATTTTACATCTGACGATTTGTCTCAGTTTAAACTCATAAGATCAAACTTTCAGTACTTGAACTACTTAAGTCCTTTTGCTTTTATATTTATCAGATGAGCGTTCCTTTTCAATACTTTATTTATTCAAACTGAACTTCATTTTTTTTATTAATAATAAAAAGATAATCACAGTTTTCATCCTTTGTTTTGCTTAGCTCATATAACACAGAAAGCTTTCCTTTGTTCCACTTAAAAATACTTTTCAATTTTCTTTTGCTATTAGAGAATTAAAAAAAGAATTCAAATGGAACCCAAATAAGCAAAGTTGATTATAATGTTTGTGAACAAAACTTTGCTTTTATATTGTTACTTTTTCTTAAGTGTGTGCTATTTATTTATTTTGTTATAAGACAGAGACATCTGTTCAATAACTTATTGAGAAGTTTATTCATTTAATTAATATGGTTACGCCCATTGCTATATTACAATTGGCTCATACCAGCTGATACAGTATTCTAAGAAGAAAAACCAGCTGGTGAAACTGGTGACATTAATATTAATGACAATGATCACTTTTTTTTTTCTTTGCAATGTCCTGATATCGATTTGACAAAAAAAAAAGAAGAGAGAAATAAGTAGCAGCTGTATAATTAGAATTAAATTTTTTTTATTTTTATTTTTTTTAATATATTCATCCATCTGAAAGTTTCCTTCTACACAGAAATATTCAAATAAGAGAAATTCTCCTCTCTCTCTCTCTCTCTTTCTTTCTCTCTTGATAAACAAGGAAGAGGAAAATATTTCCTTCTATTTATTTATTTTTTCCTGTTGCATTATAATTAGGTAATGTTCAAGCAAAGTAATTTCATTTTACAACAAAAAAAGAAGAAAAAGAACAAAGCGGCAATTTTTGTCATTTCAAATATAAGCAAAAAAAAAAAAGAAATCAACAATGTTATGAGGGAGTTATGAGATAAAAAACTGAAATCTACTTTTTATTTTTACTGAAATCCCTGATAATTTCTTTTATAAATGACACTCTTCAAGGTCATATGCATAGTTAAAATTGAAAATTGCTGAATCTAATATATCGTTCATTATGACTTTACTCGTATTTTCTTTCTCAATTAAATTTTCAAATATGTCATATTAGAAATTCCATTAGTTGCAATGATTGATAGTTAACAATTAAAAATTTTTTCATGATAATTACGCAATGAAGTGATAAATATAAAGTTATTAATCAGTAACTTGTAAATTCTAAAATTATCAAGCGTGAAATATAATCCTACAATTTTCCATTAAATGATTGGAAAGTAAATATTTTCTAAGTTAATCTAAGAAAAAAATAATTCAAAAGTTTCATGAAAAAATATTGGATTTAAAAGTAGATTTTAGTTTTAATCGATCAAATGGAGACAAATACAAGACAAAATAAGAGAATAAAATAATAGTAATAATTGACATATAAAGCATCTACACACATACAAAAGAAGTACTCGTTAATTAAACAAATTGATATTCGCACAAATTTATACTCTTATTTAAATTTAAAAACGGAAAATTAGAAATAAAAGAGAAAACGAAAAGGAAAAGAAGAAATAACATAAGATTCTTACCAATATTTTCAACATAAAATGTTTTTTTTTTTGATATAATAGAAATAATTGAAAAATTGTTGCAATACAAATTCTTGCAAAGAAATATAAATAATAGATTGATAAGTTAATAAGTATTATTCACTCCTTTTTTTGCTTCATTATTCAATTATTAAATAACTTATTTTTAAAATATTGCATTTTCATAGATAATTTCAGCTTTAAATTTATTTGTCTAAATTATCTTTCTCATTAATTTGCAAAATTTAGATAATTTGTCGCAATATGTAGTAGATAAAATAGCTAAACAAAATTAGAATACTCAGAAATAACTTTTAACCCGAAATTTCTAACCGTTTCTAATTTGTAGTTAAAAAAAAAAAACAAAATAAGTAAATATGAAATAAGAATTTAACCGCTTAAATTGATCTAAAATTTTTAGTTTAAAACAACATTTCTCTGTTTGAAAGACATCCAAAATTGAACTTTTTGTGATAACTTAACTTTTAAACAAAATAGCTATCAATCAATAAAATAATGTAATAACAAAATAAGGGAAATGAATGTTTAACAAACCCTATAAGTAAACCCTGTGTGGATTATTTTTATTGAATAGCAATTAATATATATTCAATAACATATACAACAACAATACAATTTACCTTGTCTAATTAAAATTTAAAATAAAAATTTAAACACCTTGTTTATATGTATATATGTATATACCTTGTACAAAATAACAAACAACTGATACAATAAAGATTAGACAAATGCAATTTCATACCTTGTATAAACGAAAGAGTACAAAATGACCCTGTTTACATTGTGACTCTTCGAATAAACATTAACTTGATTAATCAGTTAAGTAATTAATTAATTAATTATGCTCATTACGTTTATTTATACCATTTTTTGAAAAATTTAACAAATTACTCAAAGTGAATTATAATAACACTTGTCAATGTTTTTTTTTTTTGTTTTTTGACACGTATCTTTTTTATTTTATTTTATTTATTTATTTTTTTTTTTTTTTTTGTTTCTTTTTTGTTTTTTGTTTTTACAAACAAATAAAAACTGAGCTAAGAAAATTTTGCGCATCTATAAATGATACTTATATTCCTATTAAAATTATACAATTTTAGTATTTTTATACAAAAGAAAAAACCGACAAATTAACCTATTAGTTGCTTTTTTTTTACATGTTATTTTTGGCGCAAATATGCTTTTCTTTGCTCAGAAAGCGCTTACTCAGATAATGATGCAAAAGTACGTGAACAAATACACGCATAAATATACACGTGCACACACACAGACACACACGCACGCTTATAGCGGGCGAAAAAAAACGGAAATAAAAGAAAATATTTATTTGATCGAACTAATTTGCGCCAAAATTATCATCTTTCTTAGTAGCATTCGTCAATTTTGAAGTAAATTTTTTTTTACACTTTTCACTATTTTCTTTTTTTTTTTCTTTCAAAAAAATTCTTTCCTTTTTTTTTTTTGGTAATTTAGTAAAGTTGATGCAATTTTGTGACAACAAATTTTGAGTTGGAAAACCAGTATTTTGAAAATGATCTTAACAACGGCACAAATTAGTACAACAAAGTGTTACTTAATATTTTTTTTTTCCTTCATCCTTCTCTTTTTCAAAAATATTTTCAAAAAAAAAAAAAAGAAAAAAAAAATGTAATTTTACTAATATTATTATGCAAACTATGATTTCATTCATTTTTTATTGTTTTAATCTTTTTTTTTTAAAAAAAAGAAAAAAAAAACAGAATTTTTCTAAAATTTCATTTACTCTATGCCAATTAAAATAACAATTTGCAACTTTTCTTTTTTTTTTCCCTACAAAATTTCTATTTTAAAATTACATTTTAAAACTTTTAATAATCTTAGCATAATATATTATTGTTATTAATTAGAGAAGACAATTATTTCAAGGAATAAATTACTATTTCAAAACATGTAATAATTAGTCCAAAATTTTCATTTCAATTTTCATAATTTAATTGCTACATACTTTTCAAAATATTCAGACATGCTTAGTTTAATATAGCAATTATCATTAATGCTAAAATCAAAAAAAAAAAAAAAAATGTAAATTAAAAAAGTGATCAATACGATCAATTTTCTTGTTTCTTTTTTGAAAATAATGACTATATGATACAAATTTATAATATCACAATTAATTTATTACCAATTAGCAAATGTTATTAAATTTAAATGATTAGAATAAATATTTTTACATAAAAATTTATTCAAAATTTGAAATTTTTGAAGAAATTTTAAGAACTTCACAATTTAATAAATTGCAAAATCATTTCTATTCGAATCTAATTTTATATCTAATTAATAATTAATAAATAGTATAAGTTTATATCTAATAATATTATATTAAAAATGATGAATGATATTCATGTATAATTATTAGTTAGAAGAAAATTACGTGGATTAAAACTGGCTAAATGATGAAATGAAAGAGCGCCAGCTGGGAATGGTACTGTTGGCGTTGGCTTATCTTTATTCTCTTTTTTATGCTTCATACGACGATTCTGGAACCAAATTTTGACCTGAAATTATTTAAGCCAATTTATTGCTTTTATTAAAAATATAGAAATAAATAAAGAGAGAGGAAGAGAGAGAGAGAATATTTAAAATTCAAAATCATTTCTTGAATAACAAAAAAAAAAAAAAAAAAAATGAAATACTTCATTAAAACAAAGCATAATTTCCAATCACCAAAACTAAAGCTTTGTTTTTGTTTTTGTTTTTGTTTTTTTTTCATCAAATTACCCTTCATTAAGAAAAAAAAAAATTAACTAAAGAGGAATTTAATATTGATTTGAATTAAACTGAAAAAAAAAAGAAAAAAAAAAACCAAACCAAAATCAATTCACATATTAGAGAATATAACAAAAAAATTTTTTAAATCATAGCATAATTAATTAATACTTGCTTAAATAATGAAAACAATAAACACTAATAGTAATTTGTTCGTAACATTTTCTTACTCAGTTTTAATCTTTTTAATGATCGAAATTAAAATTTTAATAGAGGATATCGTCTTGAAAAAGACTTGCTTATACGTTTATCCTAAATCAAATAGTATCATGAAATCATTTGTTGTATTTTTCTTCTGTTACTATCAAAATTTCTTTTCCTTTTTCTTTGCTTCCATTTTTTAATTTTTATCACATCATGGAAAATTGTAACATTTGCGCAAAAACAATATTTCACAAATGTTTATCCTAGTAATTCATCATTTTTGCTAATTAAATCAAAAAGAATTAAAAAAAATTTTGCGATGAAAAAAAAGGTAATAGCAAATGGAATTCAAATAATTAGAAAAAAAATCTCAGATTGATTTGCAGTTAATCACAATTTTCATAGATAACTTGGATAGACCGATTATTTCAAAGTGAATAAGTAAATATCTTTAATGTTTGAATTATGCAGTTTATTGATTTTTAAAATAAATAACAATTAAAAAATTAAAATAAATTATAATGATCCAATTAACCTGTCGCTCAGTTAGCATCAACGAATGAGCTATTTCGATGCGCCTCTTTCGAGTTAAATATTTGTTGAAATGAAATTCTTTTTCCAATTCCAATACCTGATTCCTAGTATACGCTGTCCGTTGACGTTTTTCACCTCGATTTGAACCTAGAATTTTGAAAAAATTTCATTTATTTCTTCGTAAATTAGCAAAAAAAAACTTCTATAAAGTAATTCTTATTTCAATTATAATAACCTACGACAAATCATAAATTTAAAAATCTTCGCTTTATTATTCTTTTTTTTTACTGTAATATAATAAATTACTTATTATTTATTTGTCAATCTACTTACTTTATTATTATTATTACTACTTGTTATCATTGTTATTAATCGTTATTATAATATTACTATTAATTACTATTATTAATAACTATCATTATTATTATCAATATTCATCATAGTTACTAATTACCGTTATTAAGTTGTTTACTGTGTACTATATATGAAAACTATTTATCGATTTAAATTTATTATTGTGCTTAAAAATAATTTCATGCAAAATGAGTGAACTTATCTCTTTCTCTCTCGCGCTGTTTCTTAGAAAAAATAAAATTTTAAAAAGTTATTTTTCCATCTGAATTTGAAATGAAATATTACAAATAAAATGTAATAGTTAAAAGTTATGAAATATTTGTTGTGAAACGATTGAAAGTAATATTTTTTAAATCATGAAAGTAATAATTCATGAAACGAAAAACAATTGCTTCGAATCATTACACAAATTCTTAATTCTGTCATTCATTCCACATACAAAACACATACACAGACACACATACACACAGACACTGGCATACACAGACACAGACATTCAATTCGTGATAATAAATTATGATTTGCCTCTTTTTGTATCAGACAACAACTTACCTTCTCATTTATCCTTACAATTATCATTGCATCCCTTTCTACCTTCTTCCTCCTACCTAATTCACTCTTTCATCGTCTCTTCAACCGATCCCTGATTATATTGTCAGTGAAACACAATATTTTATCTTATGGTTAATCTTAGACTTAGAGAAGAAGCTTCCCTATTCAAATTTATTACCCCAATATTCCAACAGACTATCATCAGTTTTCCTCTCTTTCAATCATTCCATTCTCTCTTAAAATTTTCACATTTTAAGTTTAAAATTTATCGCAACCACCAAATTTGCACCATAAATTGTAGCAATGCTTAAATTTTGCAACAAAATATTTACCAATTACTTGAATTCTCTCTCTCTCTCTCTCTCTCTCTCCCTCTCCCTCTTTCAATCTTAATAGCTAAATTATTTATTTCTTTAAAAAAAAAAAAAAACAAAAAAAAGCTAACTATTCTATATTGAACACTCATTTACATTTATTACTACATTATAAATCAAGTCAAAATCTATGAAAGTGATTGAAAAAAAAAAAAAAAAAATTGTTATAATTTTAAAAAATAATTAATTACTTATTATTTATTACTGAACAAACTATAAATTAATCGCATAATTTTTGCCTTACTTAAATGCTTCTATTTATAAATTATTTATGCAACAAATATAAAGATAAAAAATAATTTCAAAAAAAAAATCTTTTTTTGGTAAAAAATACCCCAAATTACCTAATCAATAATTTTGTAAAGAAATGAATTTAAAATCAAATAAAATAATTTTTTAAACACTTTTGAATAGTTTTCAATTTCATTCTGACCTGTTTAAGCCTATTTTATGTATGAATGAAATCATTGAAGTAATTGTTCTGCCCGACAAGAACGATTCAATTCAGTAGGTAACAAACTCAACGGGTGGTAAAACATCAAAAAAGATACACAGAATGTGTTCCCGAAATTTTATAACATCAAAAAACATAAGCCGATGTGATTTTCTTTTTTGAAAATTTAAACCATATCAATCTGATGAGACAATTTTTAAATAAATACAAATTAGTTTCAAATTTGAACTAAGTAAGGAAAGGAAAAGTTTTTGTTAGTATTGAAAATGATATTCGTTATCATTTATCACTTTTGTTAGCTGCAAGAAGAAAAATTTTTCTCTAATAATTTCCAATTTCTAGGAATTTAAATTACAGTAAATGACCAAAATAGATTGATTAAATTCATTTTAAACTATTTGGAAATTAAAAGATAGTTTTAAAATTTAGGTACACTTTTGCACTTATCTTCAAATGACATGTCTGATAATAGAATTTGACACTTTTTTACATAGAGTAATAATTTGTAAAATGTTATTTAAAACATTTAGAAATGGAATGTACTTTTGTAAATTCATCGTATTATCTATCGCATTAATTTATCGTCTCATTTTCATACGATTGATAATAGCAGTGAAAGTAATTTTAATCATTTCAAGTATACTTATAGGGTTCTGTTAAAAAAAGATTTAAATCAAAAACTGTCATAGTTTAATTTATTTTTGACTTTTTAATTTATTTCTCAACAGATTACCGACCATTTGACCTCTAAAGTTAGAACATATGAACATTTGAATCATCACATTTCACTGTTTTTTTTTTGCAAATTTCAGTAAAATATCCATTTTAACAAATATTACAATCAGTGAAGTGTTCAAAAAATTTATGCTAAATATTTTTCATTTTTTTTTGTTTATATCAAAAATTTCAAACCATTGTGACATTAAATCTATGATAAGCAATCAGTTAGAAAGTATAAAGTTTATTAGTAAGTTCAGAGATAAAAATGATTTCTGTTGAAGTTAACAAAATTATATTTTCTCAGTTAATCAATCGATTAAAATAAATTTTTACTTTTACATAAATTTGTTACATTTGTTGATATTATCTCTTGAAATACTCTTGAGTATTTTGTGTATATTTGAAAGTTAAACTTTTAACTTTAAAGAAATCTGTGAATTATTGGTATTTTAAAGTAATCAGTCGATTTTGTCCACTTTTAATAATTTGATAGTATAAATTTAAAAAATTTTTAAATTTAAAATTCTTACATTTTTTTTGATTTTTTGATGCAAAAAATTCGTATATTTTCAAAATTTTGAAGCAATAAAAAAAAAGTTGATTTTGGAAATAAAAAAAGATGAAAGTATATGTGTATGTATGTATGTAAGTATGTGTGTGTTCGAAGTGTCAGTTGAATAGTTTGGTAGTTCCCTTTGTCGGCAACTCTTCTCTGAAAGTGCCGGCCGATTTGCGCCCGCTCAACAGTTGCTCTCCTTAGATGCCAAAACTAAAACTTGCTTTTCTTATCAGTTCTGATCCGACTCAAATTCAATCTATTTCAATGACTTAAATGTATAAATACACACACACATACACATACACATACATACACATACATACATATATATATATACACACACACACACACACACATACACAAATATATACAATAGACAGACAAAAAAATTTCAATAGTTCAATGAATGAGAATTTGTTTAAAATTAAATTTAAATTTTTGCTATGTTACTATTAATCAATCAATCAAAATAAACTTATCTAACATTTTGTAACAATTCTTAGTGTTAGCATAGTGCTAGCAGACATAAATACATGTTTTCATAGATTGAAAATGTTAAATCACAACATCCTACTCTGCCTGATCTAATATTTATTTACATATCATTTTCTTCATTAAATGATAGATATACTTATCATTTTTCAAAATGAATCATATTCATCGTTAGCTAGAACATTTTTGCTAAATTTAATAAATATTTAAATCGAACATTATTTAAATTTAATAAAAATTTAATTACTCTTTGCTAATATAAGTAATTAAGCAAATAAATATAAGTTAACAGAGCAGAGCATACTGTAGTTTTAAACGAAATATATGTATTCATCTTTTAAATTTAAAGCTTAGTTAAATTTATTCAAAATTTCTTCTAAACTAAATGCACTATTGATTGAACATCTGCCAAATGAAGAAGTCTCTGAACAATTGATAAAATACGCTTATGCAATACGGTAATTAATCATTGGAGGTTAATCAAAGACGAACCGACTATTATATGTTTATGCATATGTGAATTGTCCCTCTCTCTCTCTCTCTCCCTCTCTCTCTCCTTAATCTATCATCTTTTATTATCGTTCGTAAATAGCAAAAATTGTCAAATTTCAGTAAAAAAAAAAAAAAAAAAAAAAACGAAAAATCCTTTTCAAATTAAACTTTTTTAATATTTTTATTTTTAAAAATTTTTTATATTTTCGTTTTTTCCCTAATTAATAATATACTATTAATTTATCAATTATTCAATTCATAGAAAATTTATTAGATTGAATTTTGTAATTGATCTGTAAACTATTTCATTAACTTATGCAAATTGTTCAGCGTTTAACACGCTAACAATAGTAATATAATAATAGCAATAAAAGTAATAATAATAACAACGATAACAATAATAAATAAATAATAGTAGTAGTGATATAGACAATAACAATAGTGTTAATAATAATAATAACAATAAAAGTGATGATAATAATAACAATGATAACAATAATAAACAAATAAATAATAGTAGTAGTGATATAAACAATAACAATAGTGATAATATAATAATAGCAACTAATAATTATGGTAGCAGTAATAGTTAAGTGTAACAAATAATAATAATTCTATATAATAGCGATGATAATAATGAGTAATAATTTACAGTGATAATAATAACAAATAATCATAATAAATATTAACGATAAATAGTAATAAATAATAAAAATTTTCAAATAATGGATAATAACATGATAATAACGATTGCTGCAATGGTAATTATCATCAATGAAAGCAATTATTAACGATAATTACCAGCAGCAATTCTGAAAGTTTATCGAATTTGAAGTAATAATAAACTCAAAAAGAGAAAAAAAAGCATAGATGGTCAGTTGAGTGAACTTCATGAATGGTTAATGAAAAGGAAATCTAAATATAATCACGGATTCATGCTCTGAAGTTTGAGTTTTATCAGCTAAATTTCTTTCTCCTTGAAAAGGAAAAAAAGAATGTGAAATGAATAGTTCACCACCAGTAATATTTGTTGTTGCAGCTTAATTAATTATTCTAATTATTTCAACTATAGTTTATCGTAAGGACTTATTCGAGTCTAAATGTTAATCAATTATAAAATTTGAAAAAGAAAATTAGGCAAATTTTTGAT